ACACACACACACACGCGGGTAACCTCTTGACAATATGCGTTTTTGCACCTACGTAACATCGTAAGACTATAACAAGGAGACAGAACCGACTTAATTCTTGTTTTAGCGGTTTAAAAAGTTTCGGATGAATTTGAACACTGTAAGGCTTCATCGGGCTGTCTTGTAAGTTCACTTTTGTTCCATTAGGATCTTGCAGGAAAGAAAGCGGCTCCTGAAAATTGTTGTAAAGTACAGGCAAGCTGTGACAGGAAAGTTCTCATACAGGAATAACTATGAGAGACAGAGGCAGAAGGAGAGATTCATGTGATAGCACCTTATAGAAAGCAGCTAGTGATGGCAGTATCGCTATTGGTCGCCCCTTTCGAAAGCTGCTGATAGGAATAAAGTAGAGGCAGTTTAATTTTTCGCCACGAAAATTCACCAAAATCTGATAAGGGAATTGGTCTTTCGATCACTAATTCTAAAGAAAAACTGAAGGCTAAGTTAAGACAAAGCAGACTTTGATTTGAGTAGATACAAGTGAACAAAAGTAAAGTAAAAGAGACACGCATACAGGAATAGGAATAAAGACAGAAAGAAATTAAAATTGCTTATGTAAATATATGTACATTTTTATCAAAAATATTCATGCGTGATAAAACCAACTGGGACAACGAATTTCAGTCCCAGCACTGCAACTGGACCTTACCCGTACAACGGTTGTGGTATGTAATTAAATATCATTGTCAGCAGCTACATCCAGCCGAAAACGTTATTCGCGAAGCGATCCGGAGAAGTGGCACTGGATCACTGGCTTGTATTCTGGACTTACGTGTTTCAAAGTTGGAGGAACAGTGATGAAAGAGTCTGCTAAACATGAGACAACAGCGTTCACTTCTTCGTCACCATCACCATCATCATCACTGGACATGGTTCCTGGTACTGGTTCTCGCCATGGTGAATCTTCCAATGAAAAAAGCGGTACCGGCCGCTTTTCGGGTGCTAAAAGTTGCTGTAAAGTCGGTTGGTTGCGTGCTACTAAAAAGTGATCAAATTTCTTTCGAAAATCTTGGGCGCGTTTCGGAGGATGACTGTGAATTGCAATCAACTGAAAAAAGAGGAAATGCTTACTGTTTTTTGCAGAAGAAGTCGAAAATGGCGGCTGTGCAAATGGTGAAGAAAGCGAGAAATTTCCTTCAAACGAATGGTGACCGAAAGCTGTATTTATGGATAAACAATGCAGTCTTTTGCGTGCTATGTTGAAATGCTTCATGAACTGCAAAAATATCGATTGCAACTGCGCATGTGGAAACCTAGGCTGGAACGCACCAGACGAGCCGGTACGATCATGTGTTTTTGCATCAGACTTTGAAGTACCGTCTCTCATAGGTGGGGAATAGAGAAAAAAGAAGGGGATTCCACATTATGCCACCATTCAGCTGAGTACGAGATTTGATCATTTGTGGGAGTCGACGAATTAACGGCCCATCGCTAACCCGCACATTGACCAGGACAACTTCAGTTTCTAAGCTTTCGCAGTTCTTGAGGTGAAGTGAATTAGTACACCCCCGATTTCCTACTACCATTGCATTTCGCTGTTCCTCTCCCCTCTTCCCCCTATCCCTCCTGCCCGGGCCAGGACACCAGTAACGTGGGCGAGGCCACCTTCGTACCCCTCCCTCCGCCTGATTCACCACCATTAGCAAGTGACGTGGATTCAAATTTGCGTCTATCGCACCTAATCGTAGCCGTACGTCAACGGGCCGCGTCACGTTTGCAACGTCGACACATCTCGCTTATTTTTTACGCGTAGCCACTGAGTGGTGACCACTGAGAGGTGGTTGCGCGTAAGAAATAAGGCAACTACTGAGTGTGGTTGTGCGTAAGAAATAAGGCCGTATCACGTTAG